CTACAGACACCTTAGCCCGTGCCGTAACAATGAAGTTATTAAAAAAAAAACAAACCACAAAACGGGGAAGAAACACAACGCGGTGAAGAAAGACACCCGGAGGCAAGACTGAGCAAGAACGCTTTGTGCGGAGTCTGCAATCCTTGCTCCTCTTCGGCTTCGTGGTTTGCTTCCAGTCACCTCAGGACTCGGGGTTGGGGGTTGGGTGGATAAGCGGAATGAGCAGTTCAACAGCGGGAAGGAGCGAACGGCACTTTGCGTGACGTAACTTGGCATGGCTGTGTTTACTAGTTATTCACACCAAATATTGACACGTCAGGGTCACCTGGTGGGGACGGGGAGCATGGAAAACAAGCCAGGTAGTATACAGGTTGGTGCTCTGTTTCTGCGATTATGTTTCAGGTAGTCCTTCACCTGGAGTAATCTCTTTGGGAAAAGGTAAATACAGCTGCAGAACTGAAAGAGGTGTTCGGGAAGTCAACTGAACACCTGGGTGGATTCTCCCCTAGCCTACAACCATGACTTCCGTGTCGTTTTTGGTCACCATCCCGTAAGGAAGGAGCAGCCTGTGTTTCGAGGGCACACCAGTTCAACTCGGGAATGAACGTCAGGCTGCGTCTTTCCTGGGAAGTCAGATGCGCCCAGACATGTCATGTCTGGCACAGAGACCGGCTGGCATGGAATGACCTGCAAGTTGTTCAACGATATGGATAATGTATCATTCTCCCTTTGGAAGAGACAGTGGACATTATCAAAAACTCTGTGTTAATGCCTCTTGTGAGGTAACTCCACCATGAGTCTGGGAACGGGTCCATGGAGCTGGCATGGGCCAAAGACACACCAACGACAAGTTAACACTATAGATATTTTCATTCCAATGCTCGGGCATATTCCATTTAAATTTACTGATACAGACGTAGACTCGACGTACAATGGAGATATTAACTGAGATATGAGGTAGATAAAAAACTGTTGCCTTTTTATGCATGTGGAAACTGAGGCAAGGCTCTATTCTGATTTTTTTTGCACTAAATTAGACAAAGAAATGGAATAGGTCCCATGGCTTCAAAGGAGTTAATTGAAATTCACACTGGTAGATTTAGGATGATAATGTTCCAACAGGTTACATTTTCTTAAGCACGTTTTTAGGATGATGATGTTCCAACAGGTTACATTTTCTTAAGCACGTTTTCTTAGGGCTCCATTGAAGCTAACCACCTAGGTGCTAACGACCTAAATGCTGCCAAGCTCCGCTCTGCATATGTATTGCCAAAACTGCTATCCCCAGGACGTCCACCCACCCTTAGTTTGACTCCTGAGGCTTCCAAAGTGAGTAGGTGCACTGTTTGCCATGACCGCTCGCAGGTTCTTGGACTTCTTCCCTGGGTACCAGGAAGTGCCTGACTCTTGTCAAAACTAAGCAGCCAGGATGGTGAAGGAAGCATTCTTCCAGGATTTACAAGATGTAAGTTTTAATCCCTTCAGGCAGAGATGGAAGATGAACACACCTTCCCAGCCAGGACAAAAACCTGCTTGCTTTCCTTGAAAGAAGGCGGAGAGGGAGATATGAAACCCAGTCTCAAAAAGCAACATGAACCTGGGAAAGCAGATCATAGAGGTGGTGCTATAGAATGAGTGTTTTGGCTTGTCCTGGAGGGCTAGATTTCATCTGAAAACACCCGGTGCGACTTTTTGGTTGATTTTTACAGGACGTCAAGTTAGTAAACTCTTGTGCAATCAAAATGTATGAATAGATCGATTTACAATGTTATTGGCAATGCCCTATCTCTAAAGTAAACGTCATGATCCTCAGAACAAGGACCTTGTGAAGTAAGCATACATGAATGAGAAGATCAAATGCAGTATTTCGTGTACAGTTTTAGCTGGCGTACTGTTCCACGCTCCCTTGGTGGTTATGGAACAGAGGTGCTACATTTGGGGTTCAGAACAAATACCAGGCAGCATTTCTAGCTTTGTTAGATAACACAGATCAGTCACTGTTTTCACCAGTTCCGTTCTGCTGTGCCATGCTACGACAGTAAAGGAAAGATATCTTGACTTCTTTTACTTACACAGTGTACGTGAAAACAAGAAAATGTTTTCTCTTTGGTTCTGCGTTCTAAGAGTGGTGAAATTTTCATGCTAAGAGCCCTACAGTTTCAAGCATGCTCATTTAAGCTGATTATAACAGACATAAGGGTTCCTATCTATATTTAATAAAAGCGAGTGCAACATTTTCTGAAGTGATTGCAGAGCAGAACTGATTGTCTGAATCCGGCTCATAACCAATACATAAACTGAGTGTACACTTAGGAGAAAATTCCAATGGAC